TGACTCGTGCAAAACATTAAGAAGTAATTAGGAAGCCATCCAAAGCTAGTCAGCACATTCATAGGTCCAGAAAGTTCATATTGGATTTCCTTATATTTGCCAGGTACTCTCATTTTCTGGGAATGGGTCAGCTCTTTCAATAGTTACAAATCAGCCTAATGTGCAAAATTATTGCATGGTGTCATGAATACATGCAAAACAGCACTTGCTTACTCTTTGCTTCTTATTTGTAGATTTTCTTAGGTACAGCATTCCATGTCATTCAGTATTTTTCATATTTGACTTGGTACTTTCATAAGTAGGTTATTAATCCTTCTTAACTGATTTTTAAATATGAGCCCAAAATGATGAATTATTTGTCCAAATCTTTTCTCTGACACTGAGTATAATAACAGTCTGGGGTTTAAACCAAGTGATTTGACAAAATTTTTTTTTCTGTTTTGCCCCTAGCAAATGGTTCTTATTAATAGAATAATAGTAAACCCTTGATTATATATCATTTGTAGTTGCTAATAGAACAAAACATGACCGCAAATGATACCAGATATTATCATAAAAGAAGATATGAGAGACTTATTGAAGAGGGTCAGCACTTCCAAACTTTTAAGAAAGGAGTGGAACAATTTCCAGTTATTGTTTTATCTATAAAGTCAGGTCAGTATTTTAGAAATTGATTTGCCATTCAATTATTTGAGTTTTTATCTAAATCCTGAACAAAGAAATTTTATAATTGGTTGAAATAGGTGTTATCAAAAATTTTCATGCAAATCTCTGCATTTGGTGGAAATGTTGAAGTTGAAATTTATATATTGATACTAAACCGTCATTCAGATGCACAACATTCAGATTGTAATTTTCTTATATTCAAACTCGAGTAGTTCATCAGAATAACTTGTTTTAATTCATTTAAAATTCACATTTCCTTTACATTTCTTTACCTCTCAATTTTTCACTAACTGTAGAGAGAGAGAGTCATGGTTTGAGGGAAACTGCCATGTCTACAATTGTTTGTAACATTGAGGAGTGAGCCCTTTACTAGATGTGGTGATTATCTGGCTAATTGTATCAATATGTCTGCAGACAGTAATTCAGAAGAGGAAAAAAATACCTTTAGGAATTAACATATTGAGTTTGTCTTCTTTATTGATCAAATTAATTGGATGATTTCCAAATCTCCACTTTACTGAGTATTTTATTGACATAACCTTTGACCAAGAAGCATATAGATTTCAAAATGTCTTTTTTTATAGACAGCAAATCAATTTGGTTATTTTAATAAATATAATTGTTGGAGCAAAATAGTTGGTTGAGCAATTAAAGGATTGTCATTACCGTGGGTGTGGGCAGGGCATTGGAGTTGAACCAGTGGAATCAGGTTTTTGACACTGGTGGTCCTAACAGTAAATAGTATTAACACAAAAGAACCAAAAAGGAGATCTTGATTTTATGCAGGAATGTTTTATCATAAAAACATTAAACATTCATTGTACAGTTTTATAAAATTCAGTAGCAGAGAAGACAAAATTTGTGTTTTATACTTTTAATTCAAAGAAATATTTTCTTGAAATGACAATGACCAAGTTGTCATTAGAAGGATGTAGCAAGCCTATGCTGGCTTCTTGAAGACAACACAGGTTAGTCCTGGGTTGGCATCTTGGCTTTATCTCTTTAGTAATCATTTATCCTCTTTGTGCCTCAGTTTTCTCTTTTGAAAAGTTAGAAAAATACTGGTACTTCCCTGTTAGGGTTGTGAGGATGTAATAAAGCAAAATGCCAAAAAAGTAAATAAATACACACGAACGATCATTTAGAGAAGTAAATGCTCAATAAATGTTAGCTATTGCTATATGTTCATCTTGAAGTAACAAATACATACTCTATTTATGGCCTAATGAGTTATCATTACATCTTAACAGCAGCTTTCTGGGAAATGCTTTAAAATTTAATATGTTCACTTGATGGTTTTGGATCATTTTAGCATTAGTTATTTTTCATTGTTTAGAATATTATTATTAGAATTGCTATCCCAATTAATGGTTTGATTACATGTGAGATAAATACACTTAAATATCTGTGTATGAGGGCAGAGGAGCAAATGCAAACAAATAAACAACACATTTAAATTTAATTTGCAATATCATAATTCTTGAAATCATACAGCACACTCATGACAGTCATCAAATTTGAACTTAACCAATGTTTTTACTTTAATTCAAATCTCTAACTAAAGGCTCAGATGATTTACAGAAATTTATAATTTCTAATCTGTGGTGGATGGGGTTCAACTCTACTCAACTGCAATAAAAATAGAATATTTTAAAAGTAATATTTTGAGTAAAATCTGGGAGCATTTGTTTCTGAGCATAATTTGAACATATCTAAATTCCAAAATCTAAACATTAATAAAATGTAAATATTTATTTGAAAATTTGGTTGATTAATAATAATAACACTAGAACTAAGTCAATACTTTTATATTTCCTGTCTCCTCAAAAATACTAAGAGTAGTTTTTCCAATGATATTTGTTCTGAGTACTGGTAATTCATATTATCACATAATTCTTTTAAAATGACCATATGCAGATAAAATATAAACTATTTGTTATTTAGTAATTTGTTTTACATAATTAAGTTATCATGACTTTATTTTTTCAACAGAGGAATGAAAGTGTATCTACACTCTATAACAGATGACCAAACTGTATCAAATTGCATCTTCAAATGGGCACAGAAGCATTGGTATATGTACATTTTTATTAGAGCAGAAGTGAATCCAAAATACAATCTCTTGAGTTCAATTATAAAACCCATATGCTTGAGTGAATGCATGGTAAAAATGTGCAACTTCATTACACATTAGAGGCACTACAAATTTCAGCTTCAATTCAAAAAACATTCGGATTGCTAATGTGGCGTACACTGCTAAAAGGCGAATATCATTGCTGTGTGGAGTAATATAAGTAGGCAAGTAGAAACATCTGTATTTTCTCTGCTTTAAAAATGTGGCTTTTTAATCCAAGGGCATATCTATGTAGAGGATAAAGCCTGTAATAACACGAAATGCTTATACCAGGGAACTTAGTGAAGAGTGACAGCAAAGTAAAAACACAAAGTGTCATTGGAATTAAATGAGTTATAGTTTAAGCATTAGTGCCAATGTAAGCATACTCATGAAGAAGTATTCTTGCCCCTTTTTCAGGATAAATCAAAGATGAACATATTTAATGAGTCTTTAAAAAACTGAGATGAGTACTAAAAGTAGCCTCAACTACCTCCAATAGGAAAATAGGGAAAAAGTCCACCAAATCTTTGGATTTATACTTCTGAAGACTTGGTGATGCATCAGGATATGTCAGAATGAAAATGTGTTTAATTATATACCAATGGTACTTAGGGGCCTCATTCATTCTCAGTTATTAGTTTGTGCTTAAAAATATGCTTTCAGTAGTTCTGATACTTAAAAAGCTGTATCAAAGAACAAAAGTTTCAACTTTATAATATTTCTAGAGGAAGCTAATATCAGAGTGATCAACTAGGTGTTGAGAAGTTCAAGTTCTAGCTTAATTATCTGGCTTTGGAATCCAAAAATGTTAAAATTCTTAATTCCCTATTTAGAAAGCAGACATACATCATTTCATAGAACACTGAGAATTAGTGACATATGCAAATTATTTTGAATTCATTACAATATCCAGAAGGTATATTGTCTCATGTTTTCTACATCTTTAAGAGACTGTGATAGACAGGTGGCACTTGATCCTCACCTCCCGATGTTCATGCTTCTCTTCCATTGTGGACAGGATGTGTAACTTCTAACCAATGGAATGCAAAAAATGTGATGGAATAAAAATATTTATGTATGAGACTACTCAGGAGTATATAATCTGTCTTGTGGAGAGTCTTTTCATTGATGATTTTGTAGACACTGTTGCCATGAATCCTATACCTGCAAGGAAATTAGTTATGCTCACAAGTTGAACATGCTTGGAAGTAGAATATTTTCCCAGCCAGCTACTCACAAGAATCTAGTTTTGGTTGAATGCAACCTTTTGAAATCCTAAGCATAGCTACACTCAACTATAGTATTTCAACACCTAAACCTGACAGGATTCATGCCAAGTTTTTTTGCAAAAAAAAAAAAAAGTGAGTGGGACCATTATGTGAACTTTGAACAATAACAACAAAACCCAACACTTTTGCTGATATTACTTAAAAATCATTCATTACTAAGCTGTCTCATGGTGCAAGATTAGAATGCATGGAATAGTTGTGAATATACATTAAAATTGAATAATCTGTCATAATTTCTTTGTGACAGTTTGGTGAATATTTTTCTCATCTGCAAAGAAAAGTTAACATGTTAGTTGTTATTGATTTATGCATTGTAGTCAAAATATCATACTTGAGAAAGTTTATTACAGTGTTGAAACCTATGGATGTTATAAAATTGAATGTCCTGTGTTTGTTAGAAGATTCTTTGCTGCCACCATTGGTTTATTTGTCTGTTCACCATCCTCATCAGTGCCATTTACATAAGATGCATTTAATATTAGTAGTGCAGCACCCCAAACAAACCACACAAGTTGGCTTTTGGAAATAGACTGACAATATTTTTCTGCTGAGAACTCTAGGCTACTGACTTGCAGTGCTCAAACATGCTCTCATATGTCAAAAGTGCTCCCATATGTCACTGACAAATATATTGCTGCTCTGATTCTTTGTGTACCTTTTAAATGGAGTGAGGAACCGAATTATACCATGTGATGGTTACTTTATGAAAGGTTATAAACCAATTTTGGGACAGATAAAACAGGGTGCCAGGCTTATATGGTGGTGATGATTATACAGTGAATAGTGTCATCCCAGAATCTGACACATAGAAGCTGTGAGATAATAAAAGTGTGTTGTTTTTAAGGTACTAACTTTGTGATCTTTATTGCACACCAATGGAAAATTAATATACAAACATTATAAATATTTGCATTTTGGAATACAGCACATTTATACATTCATTTGTGTATTTATTTTGAAGTTAGTGGAATGAAATTTTGAAGTACACAACTCATTTCTCAGACACTTGAGTTACTGCGTGGGAGGGCCTCCAGGATGCCTCCTGTGACAACTCACTCCGCATATGGGCACAGGGGAAGATTCAGAGCACTTGTCATGATGCTAGATTCCAGGAGTCAAGGAGAAATAAAGTTTGAAATGTGAGGAGCCAAAGTTAGCCTGTGAAAAACCCATCAAAATCTTGGATCAATATGTAAAATAGACGTGAAAAAATTTTCCTACATTTGATAACAACCTTAACAATCACTGATGAGTTTTGAAGTTAAAAGTAAAATATTCTAAGAGTCAATAATAGAATTTTTAATCAATCATTCCAGAAGAGAAGTTAAATTATCTTTCTATTCTCATTATAGAAAACAGTATATCAAGATTAATACCATATGAAGAAGCAATAAAAGATTATGTAGCCAAAACCGTAAGAAAAAAAATATTATTTGTATTATAATCTGTTCTTTTTTGATGTTGTTGTTACTTTTGAACTTTTTAATATTCATAATATTTGTGATTCATTTGTCATTCTAAATAAACATGTACTTTCCTATGTATAGGAAAATTATAATTTTTATTCTTTGTCTTAAATAGGATATCAAAAATCATTTTTAAATCCCACAATATGCACATTTCATCTCCTCATGCAAAACCAAGAGAGAAACAATACTGTAAAATGCTACTAGCAGTTATAATGAGATGAAAGCAGATAATGGACCCTTATAATGGGCAACAAAAATCTTTGCTGATTTTGACAAGAATTATTTCAGATTCAGAGGGATGGCATGGTCTGAAAGCAGAAGAGGAGAATGGACAGTGAATGAGAAGTTCTGTAGCATGGTGGGTACCAACTAGTCCCATAAACAGCTTGGCAGTGAAATTTGTCAAGTAGAAGAGGTAGCAGATGGAGGGGAATGTGAGGCCACTGGAGTTTTCTCCTCCTCCTCCCCTTCCTTCTTCTCCTCCTCCTCCTCCTCTTCCTCCTCCTCTTCTTCTTCTTATGAAACAACTTCCTTTGTTGATGGGAATGCTCTAATAGGAAGGCTATACAGGGGCAACTGTATGAGGTAGCCATCCTCCAGGATGATTCCTAAGGATTCCACTTCTTGGTATTCAATCCCTATATATATCCTCCCTAATTAAATGAGGAAGAAAACACATGGCAAAAGTGATGGGGTAGTCACTTCCAAAATTAGGTTTTAATAGACTACAGCGTCACTTGATGCTGTTTCCTTTCTTGCACTCATTGCTTATTCTCAGAGAAGCAGGCAGCCATATTGTGAGTAATCCCAAGGGAGGGCCAAATGGTGGAGAATTGAAAACTGAGGTCTCCAGAGAGAGGCTGGTCAATGGCCATGAGCTTCTTGAATGAGCTTGCAAGTGGATGGTCCAGCCACAGTCCATCAATGCTAGGACCATATTCCCTGCTGACAACCCAACCACAAGCTTGGAATAGACCTTACTCAGACACCCTATGAAGATGCTCTTGGATTCTTGACCCTCACAGACTGTGAGATAAATAAATGGTTGTTTTTAAATGTATTTCAGAATAATTTGTTATGCAACAAGAGATAATTATTATATCTCAGGAGCAAAGAACTTGAGAAGACAAAAGAGAAATTAAAAGCACATTTGGATAAATTGTCTCCATGAGTAGAAACAGGGATGAGTCTATATTTTAAACAAGAGAGAAGATAGAGCTTCAGGGTACAGATTTGCATGAATTTTTAGATATGTTTGGTGGATCTTTAGGAAATTTTAATTTTATTGATTTTCTTTTCTCAATTATGCATGAAGCAAAATGTTAAGTTGTGAGTAATGTGAAGAGGTTGGAAGGGATGTGAGATTCAAGAACTGTAGAAAAAACTGAAATACAAAATTTAGAGAATGAGAAAAATTTGTAAGCAAATATAGTAGGATTAGGGTTAAGGTTGAATTCCATTTGGGTTTTGTATTGTGTTCAAAGTAACTTTTATCAACTAGTTGTGTGACTTTTCCCCAACAATATTTAATTGTTTGTGTTCAGCCATAGAGTAAGCAGTTGTCTGGATTTACCTGGAGTTGGTGTTTGCTAAGTGCATACAATGGAGGGAGAAAAGCCAGAAAATTGATGGTATTTGTGAAGGAAGAATTTCAGTTATGGTTCCTGAAGTTCCTTCCAGAAAAAAAGAAAGAAGAACGGGAAGATGACCAGTGGTGGCATAGCTAAATATCCGAAGGTCTTGCCCAGGAATACTTGCACAAGGTGAAGAAGGTAAAGTGAGCTAAGCTAAGGAAGAGACAATACATGTGACGACAAGAACTTAGGGTGTGGTGATGGAACAAGTGTCTGAAGTGGGTCAGGGAGAAGAATGTATTGAGGTTTGCTAGGACAGGGTGACTAGTGAAGTTAAATTCAGGAGAAAAAAATCAGGGAATTTTTGAGCAGAGAATACTTGCAGAAATATGCAATGATGGACATTATTTAACTGTAAGAGTGAGTGGGCTAAAAAGGCTATTGTATTGCTCTCACCAAATGGACTCAGTGCCAGCCAAAGCTTATGCACAATGGTTCTTGTTAGTTACCTTAGAAAAATGGTTTTTGTTACCTTAGCAATGGGAACCAAACCTTAACTTAACAGCCTTTTGTTGAGAATATTCACAAGAAAGTAGAGAATAACTGGAGAGTAGGACACACATCACTTCTCAAGTTTCTTTTGGGTGACAGCTGGGGAAACAGTTTAGACCGAAAGAACAATTACCTCACACGTGTAATACTTGATACTCCTGAGGGCTGCCAACCAACACTTCTCCTTTTTCCTTTTTACATTACTGGAATTGAACCCAAGGGTGCTCTACCTCTGAGATTCATCCCCAAACTATTTATTTTTATTTTTCTTATTTTAAGACAGGGTTTTGCTAAGTTTCTAAGGTTCAAATTTGCAATCCTCCTGCCTCCACCCCTTAGTAGTTGGGAACACAGGCATATGTTACCATGCCTGACTTTATTTTTTACTTACTTTTTAAAAAATAAGTAAGTCAGTGTTACTCCTTTTGGTAACTTCTCTGAGCCTGGGTTTAATTTGTTCAGGTTTGGAAAAATCTATCAACCTGCAAATTAGAATTCTCTCCTGACCTTTACCTTTACTTTGAGCAAGTTTGAGTTCTCCTAGAGATAGGAGTGGAAATAGCAGTCAATGCCTAAAGTACCACTGAAACCCAGAGTTGACATTCAAAATGTTTTTGATGGTTACATTAATAGTAAGTGCAGGTTGGTAATGCATTGATGCTCATTTTCTTTGGAGACATATCAGAGCCTACTTATTGACTTTTATGATTATAAAATACTCAGGTCATGTAAAAAGTTCAAAAACCAATAGAGCAAATTACCACATGTACATCACTCACTTAAGAATTAGGAAAAAAAAAGATATAATTAAAATTTTCTGCCCAAGAACCCAATCACTTCTTTCCTAAAAGTTTTCTCAATCTTGTTTATTATCCTCCAAGCAGTTTTGATAAATTTTTAAATTACACTTCCACAAATAAAATATTCTTTAGTTTTAAAGTTTTAAAATTACACTTTCATTTATGTGGCTTGGTATAGCACGAATTCTGTAACTTGCTTCTATTGCCCTTATTATTATATGTGTACATGGCATCGTGATGATTCAGGTAGCAGGGGTTCATTCCTATTGATTGATGAATAGCACCTGCTCATGAATCTACTGTCCGGATGATGAACATTTCACTTATTTACAGTTTTCCATGTTACAAAGGATACTACACTGAGAATTTCTGGAATTTCTGAGAGTGTATATGTATTGCCGTATTCTAGGCCGTACATATCTTAAAATTTATGATACTTTGATGTTGCTCTCTGAAGAAGGTGAGCCAGTTTACACTTCCCTCCAAGATAGTCTCTTTTGCCCAATATATTCTGGTACTTCCGAAAATTTTAATTTGATGATTCTGAAACAGGATTCATTATTTTAATTTGAAGTTTCCTGACAACATGTAATTTCAATAAAAATAAATTCTAGAGAGTTAACACTCTTTGGCTGCTAGAATACCTCAACATGCTGCCTCTGAAATTTTCACTGGATGGGTGAAAGTGATATGGTCCCCCAGGGAGAGGGATAAAAATTCCTAAGGTGAGGCATGAGGTATTTTCATCATCTAAAGGCATCTTCCTTCCTTCCTCCCCCCTCCCTCCCTCTCTTTCTTTGTCTCTCCCCTTCCTCCCTCCCTCCTTCCTTCCTTTCTTCATAGGACTGGGATGGAACTCAGGGACTCACACGTGCTAGGCAAGATCTCTAACACTGAGTTACTCTCCCAGCCCAAGGCAGCTTGGTCTTAAAAGGTGAAGAAATCCTAAGTGGAGGAAACAAGGCCCAGTGGAATCCTAGTGGTTCTATAACCACAGATAAGGAAGGCAGTATTTGTGATCTGAAAAATAAAAAAGTGACTTGAGATGAAAGGCAGAGAATGAGAATAAAAAAAGAGCTGGCTGAAATGAGGAAGGCTGCCTCAGTTTCCTTCAAATTTGCCTTTTTAAATCTTACTCTTAGTTTGCTCTTGTAGATTACAAGGGTGTCTCATTATATCCTGCTTTAGGGCAAGTGGCTTGCTTATAACAGAATTATAGAGTCATAGAATGGGTAGAAACCTGAGATATTATTTCATTTTGTATATGAGAACACTAAAATTCAGAAAGAAGTTACACGGTTGTAATGAACCAGAATTAATGAAATTATTGAAGAAAGAGATAACAGAGACCTTACTGTTTACGTTTATTGGGGGGATTAATTTGATCATCTACACAGATGAAGGGTGCTCCTTCGGTGCCATGGCTATAGTAGAGTGGTTGAGAGCATAGACTGCAGAGTAGAGAGGCCTGAGTTTGACTCCCCAGTGGAGCAACTGTGAAATATTTGATCTTGTTCAAGTACTGTGACTTCTCTAGTCTTAGTTTCCTTATTTGTAAAATCGGGGAAGTTTTGACTCCTTGCTTTTTTCTGGTGGTGTGATGAACAGATGAGATATAATCTTATCCATCTCTGACACATACGAAGCAACTGAGGAATGGCAGATATTATGTTTTTATTTTAACCCCTTAGTGTTTGACACATACTTATGTCATTTAGTGTTCTGACTCCAACTACCAGTGGGACGAAGGGGAAGTTTTGGTA